ACACTCCAGATTCGAACGATTGCGTAGCAGCAGACTTTCATCAAAAAATGCAAAAAAAAATGCAAAAAAAATCGTAGCCATTTTCAGGTTGGTTTTTTGATGCGGTCACCACGCGGTCACTACGCGGTCACTACGCGGTCACTACGAGTCAACTAGCTTTTTTCTAGAACAGCAATGACTCAGCCACGCCGCCTCAGACGCGAGCCTTAGCAGCGCGCTATAAGCAAAATCATTCAGCATGGCCGCCGCAGAAGCAAGAAGAAACATCATCAAACAAGTCTACGAGAATCCCCGAACAGGCTTTGGCAATCAGGAGCAAACGTTGAGACTAGCCAGAGCTCAAGACCCAACCATCACCAGAGATGAAGTGCGACGGTTCCTGGACTCGTTGTTAGTGCGCCAAGATCGCCCAGAACGAGGGTACAATGGTTTCGTGCCTCCAGAGCCGATGTTTCAGCTCCAAGTTGACCTGGCTGACATGACGGCATTTGCTCAAGGATTTGCGTCCTGAAGTCCCTGCGCCCTCGAGAGGTCCGCAGGAACAGTCCGAAGTCACTTTCAAGAAAAAGCAAGTGCAGTGCCAGAAAGCTTCAGGCTTCCAACAGGTAAACCGAAGCAGGCACGCACAACTGTTACTTTGAAGGCTTGCTGGAAGCTAGGAGTCCAACAGCTAAGCGTTCACTGTACAAGCTGAAAATGCGCACAAGCAGCAAAAGTGGAGTGCACACCCAGCAGAACACTACAAGAGGGCGGAAAGCCCATGAGCCTTTCGACAGAAGCCTAAAGAGGCTAAAAAGAGCATGCCACTATGTACATGACTCTACGGGCAAACGAAAACTAGCAAGCTTCAGTTGGGCTCGAGGTTGAAGCTCAGTTCGCCAGAAGCGCAAGCGCAGCAGCGCAGCGGCCAGCGCCAGCAGCAGTCCACACCAGCCACCAGCAGCAAGAGCACGGCACCGTAGTTCAGGAAGGAGTTGTAGTTGGAGGGCGAGCGTCCCTCTCCACCTTTTGCTTGAGAAGAGCAGCTGCAGCAGAACCTGCACAGATTGCAGAGTACTCCCACTGGTCGGCAGCTTCACGGCGACGACACCAGGCTTCGCGAAGAGAGCCTTGGCCACGCCGCTGTCGGCACGCAGCAGCCTCACGATCCACCCTGGCATTGAGCATCCTCAAGGTCTCAGTGCACATGCCAAGGGGTGCCTCCCAAAGGGGCCGCTTTCCGTGCGACGGCACCCACACGAAGCTGAGCTGAACTCCGAGACGTCGAAGAGCAGCAAGAGCACCACGCACACTGTTGACGATCACCGGGTACACCGACTTGTCACCGTTGCCCAGCACCGCCGTGAGCGCAGACTGACAGTCCAGCACGAAGATGGCCCGCCCACTCCACTCAGAGCACTCAGCTGCAGCAGCAGTAGCACGAGCCCCCAAGTCGAAAGCCAGCATTTCTTGCTTAAAAGCACATTGATCTTCATGACCATGGCCTCCCGAACACACGTAGTCTCCTGGGTGAAGACCAACAGCGAAGGCACCCACCTCGTCGGCCTCGGACCCGTCGCTGCCGACGTAGAGCACCATGCGCTCACGCATCTGGACCACCATGGCGTCGACGAGGTCCGAGAAGAGCTCCTCGTGGTCGACGCCGAGCGGGGCCTGAGGGTACTCGGGCGTCGTCGTCGCCAGCAACCTTTCTTCCGCACGGTGAACAGGAAGTCGGAGCCCAGCACGACAGGCCTCCGTGCACTCACACCCCCACAGCAAGTGAGGTCTCGAGGGGTACTTCAAGTTGCACATGCAGCTCCAGCGCTCGTGACCTTCCGGAAAGCGGCGGTGGCCATTGAAGTACCAGCAGCTCCCTCCAGCACCGATCAACGACAAGTCGATGCCTCGCAGTTGGGCCCTCAGAGCCCTGTGGTGGCCTCCGAAGTGAAAGTCCTCGCCACCATCGGGCGGCGGAAGGTCCAAACCAGTCGCCAAGCCCTCCTCGCGGCGGTGGAGCTTGTGCTTCACACGGCCCGTGCGCAGGGTGCGGACTTGTCTGAAGTGTTGGCGCAGCCACGAAAACACACAGAAGAAGCTGTCCACGCCTGGCCGAAGCACACGTACAGCGTCAGCGCGATCACGACGACAAAGTTGGAGGCCACGCTCATCCATGCTCCAGCCGTACTTGGCCAAAACGGGCGCGGCCTCAGGGATCATGGCCTTCCAATCAAACCTGGCTTGCGTGAGCGGCGCAGTGTCAAGCCAAGTCGGAGACACCGCACAGGAGCGCCAGAGGCCGCGAAGAGCGCCAAGATCGCTGGCGAACTCAGGCTCGAGCTTCCACCCCATGGCCTCAAAGACAGTCACGGTCGCGGCCTGCCCCGTG